CCAGTCAGCGAATATTTCCTGAACTGGGTCAGCTGGAGTTCTCCGGGAAAGGAAAATAAACCCGGTGAGAGGGCCCGGATGGGGGGCACAGGGCTGGAGGAGGAGGACAAGAGCAGCAGCTCTGCCTTGAGGACCTCTGCAGCATCCCATACAAGGGTGGGGGGGTCAGGACTCCTGGGTCCCCTCCCGGTGTCCAGCTGTGCCCAGCTGTGCCCTTGCCTCTGCCTCCATTGCTCCCTAATCATGGTCCTCATCTAGGTGCCCCTAATTTGCTGGCAAAGCCATCATGGGGCTCTGCATTTGGGACTGCCTGTCTCCCGTCTTTCTGCTGGACCCTCATCTGAGACTGGGTTTCCTCCGTGGGCACCAGGAGCCGGTGGCCGCAGGCATGTGGGGGCGAAGGAGCCAGGACAGCTTCCAGGCATGGGGGCTGCAGCGGGGAGCTGCCATTTCCCTGGGATTTTTGCCGCCCCTCAGGGCTCGGGAGGCTTAAACCCAGAAAGTTTGCAAGGGGGAAATATTTCTCTCTCTTTGTCTGTGAGAGGCATTTGGGCTGCTCTGAATTCCCCCTGGGATCTCATGCCCAGCTCCCGGCCGGCTGCCCGGGACCAGGGGAGGAGAAGTCACCCCAGAGCTGCTTCCCCTGAGCATCCTCAGCTGTCTGGGCCATCGCTGCACTCCCTGCGCAGGAAAACGGAGGATTTGAAACCAAAATGGACCTTTCCACCCTCCTGTGTCGTGGGACACACCGTGTCCTGGCCCTGCTCCGCGTGGACCCGGCAGCCCTGGCAGCATGGTGGGAAAGGGGGGCTCCCGTGGGCCTCCTACTACAGCTCCTGAAACTGATGTTTCAGGTCCTGATAACCGTGAGTGGTGAAAAAAGGATGAGCAAAATGCAAAATGATGTAGCAAAGTGGCCGCAGCCGGGAACAAGGGAGCTGAGTGGTGTAGGAAGGATCTTTAGCCTCTTCCCTGCAATCTCGGCCGCTCTTAGTAATGCGATGCAGGCGAGAGCCGTGTTGGGGACATCGCCTTGACAGCGGCCGTCCCTGAGAGCTTTTAAACATGTCCTTCACTTTGGGCTCAGCATCCTCCCCGTGCGCGGCGGGAGGGATGGATGGGAGTGGGTTGGGGGTGTCTCGTACCCCCACAGCAGCCGAGTGTGCCTCCACTGGTTCGGCTTCAAGCGTTGGGGCTGGACGGGGCTTTATGGGGGGAAAAAGGTGCCCGGATGGGGGGATCCCTGTCTCCCAGGCAGTGATGGCCCCAGAGCGTCCCAGTTTGGCCCCTCACTGCCCTGGGGATGGGCAGCAGCAGGGCGAGGGCACCCTTCATGGGAAAACTGTGTTGTGGGAGGACACCTTAAAAATTTCCCGAGAAGCTGCTTTCTCTTAACTCGCCCTGCAAGCGTTTGGATTTTCAAGCCGACATTTTACTACCAGCAGTTTTTGGCAGAAACTGCCTTTTCTCTGCCAGAAAACTGAAGAGAAACCCCAAATCGGAGTATTTCCATCCAGAGCTGCTGCTGTTGTTCTTCACAAAACCTCTCCTGAATGGGAAAGCCGTTTCTCACCCTGCGGCAGCTCTCTCTGCAGGCACCGCTCCGTCCCTCGCCCGCTGGTGTCACAGGCAGCGGGATTTGCTGGCACCAAGGGGCTCATCCCACAGAGCCTGAGCAGCTCCCGGGGGTCCAGGGGGGTGGTGAAGGGACGGGAGGGAGGGACACCGCCACAGCCCTGGGGGGAGTTGGGTCCCACTTGCTCCCTGGAGAGCCGTGGCAGGGCTGACTTGTTGTGGGATAGCTCCTGAAGAGCGATGGCTAATGGTAAGATGAAGAGCCAAGTGTATTTTTCGCCTTAAAAATGTGTGTAACAGAAGGGGGGGACTTGTGGAGCACAACCCAAGGAAGGAGACTTGCAGCCTCAACCATGGGGGATTGCTCTCTGCTCCGGGAGAGGAGGGCAGGAGCAGCGTCGATGCTCCCTCCATCATTTCTGATCTTTCCTGGCTGCTGCCCGCTCCCCGCCCCCCTCCCCAGCCCCGTGTCCCCGTGGGACCGGCGGTGTCTGTCCCCCCCTCCCGCTGTGTTACAGCCCTTCAGGAGTGCAGCAGCTCCGGCGCTGACAGCCATCAGGGCTCCTCATCCGCCGCGGACAAGAAAGCTTTTAGCTGGGAATATGGGGGCCGCAGGAATATTAGTGGGGCTGCCCACCCCCCGCCCCGAGCTGGGGGCAGGCAAGACTTCGGCTCTCAGCCGCGAAACCCTCCCTGGGTCTGCCACCCGGAAAATGCTTTCAGCTCATCCCAGCATTGCCGCAGATGGGAGCGAGGGGGCATTTTGTTCATACCGGGGGTGCCAGGCTTCCTCTGGGTGTAAGAAGGTGGCCCCAGCGCGCAGGAATGGCTGCCTGTGGCTGGAGGACCTGGGGACTGAGGGTTGAATCCCCGTCCCTGTGGCTGGGTCTGCCCGGTGTCGGTCTCTGTGTCTTTTGTGGAGTTGCCAGCAGAAGACATGGAGCTGACCTGGCACCCATTCCCAGGAAGGCAAAAGCAACCTCAGGATCCTGGCTGCAATGTGTGCAAGGGTGGCTCAGCACCTCCACATCTTTGCGCTGTCCTGAGGGATGCTTAAGCATCCATGTCCTCTCGTCTCATCACCCATGGCTTGGAGGATGCTCAAGCCCTCTGGAAGAGGGAGCTGAGGCAAGAGCTGAGCCAGACCCCGTCCGCCCACTGTGGGAGGTTGCAGAAGTGGTGGCACAATTAGATTTCTTTCTTCCCTGTGGAGCTGACAGCCCCCAGGAGCACCTCCAGGGGCTTGAGAGGCAACTTCTGCCTCCAAAGAGGAGCTCTGCAGCCTGCCCTCCGCCTGACGCTGCAGCAAAGGGGTGCTGGGGGGGTTCCTCTCCCCATCACCAGCCCTGCGTGCACATGTGTGCGTGGACCCTGCAGCGTGGGGCAGCTGTGGACTAGTTGGGACCTCGGCGTGCTGGAGCTGGTTCCTTTGCGCACAGCCAGCACCCCCCAGGTCCCATCCAGCCCCCCAAGCTCAGAGGAGCCAGGTCCTGCCTGTGGGGACGCAGCAAGGACACAGCTGACCCCAGAACTTGGAGTATGAAACTCCCAAGTCCCTTTGCCACACAGCATGGGACCTGGTGGGGTATTGAGAAGCTCCTTGAATGCTGCTGCACAGAATGGGCTGGTGGGACCCAGTTTCCCTGGGAGCAGTGCTTGGACCAGGATGTCCTCGGAGCATCCCAGTTGCCTGCGGGACAGTGCTGCCGAGCTGGTCGCTGCCCGCACCGCATGTGCTGTCGGCAGGGATGGAGCTTCAGACATGGGGGTCTTTGGTCCCTCAGGGAGAGGGAAGCACCCAGGCACTGTGTTCAGGAAAAACAAACCCTCGGGTTTAGGCTGAGCTGGGCTTTGGGTCTGATCTCGTGAAGACCGCTCGGGTGGGCTGCAGCAGCCACCAGGGTGGGACCGATGCCGCAGGTCTTTCAGTCCCCAGGGCATCCCTCACCTGGCC